TAATAAAAATACCCATCTACAGTTGTCTTCATTATACACTTTCCCCTGTCCTTAATAAAGGCCAAACCCCACTGTTCCTCCTTGGATTCCTCCCTCATAATTACACTTTTTCTATTCCTATCTCACCCAGGGTTTTAACATTTTAACATTTTATCTCATGCATCCGGCCCGCCCTTTGTGTTTGATTTTTATTATGTTATTCTGCACTGTTTATTTTATTTTATTTTATGTATGTTGTCGAGATGTATTTTCTGTTATTTTGTGTCTTATTGTTGTTCATTCGTTCAGTCGTTTCCGACTCTTCGTGACGTCATGGACCAGCCCACTCCAGAGCTCCCTGTCGGCCGTCACCTCCCCCAGCTCCTTCAGAGTCAAGCCAGTCACTTCAAGGATGCCATCCGTCCATCTTGCCCTTGGTCGGCCCCTCTTCCTTTTTCCTTCCTTTTCCCCCAGCATAATTGTCTTCTCTATTTTATGTCTAATTATGCTGTATTATTTTTGGACTCGGCCTCATGTTAGCCACCCCAAGTCCCCTTTGGGGAGATGGTGGCGGGTTATAAAGATTATTATTATTACTATTATTTGTATTATTACCCAGTTAATATTTAATATTTCTGATATCCCCACCCCCAGATAATCTGGGATAAGAAGATAATCTGGGATCAGATCCTGGGATATAGGCACAGTGTGGAAGTGGCCTTTGGAGCAAAGGCAATTCCCATTCACAAACACTTGATCCCCAACACATCATTTTCATTAAACAATGACATAAAGTGCTGAGTTTGTTTCCAAATCCAGTAGAGTCTCGCTTATCCAACATAAACGGGCCAGCAGAACGTTGGACATGCGAAAATGTTGGATAATAAAGAGGGATAAAGGAAAAGCCTATTAAATGTCAAATTACTTTATGATTTTACAAATTAAGCACCAAAATATCTATTTTACAACAAATTGACAGAAAAAGCAGTTCAATACTTGGTAATGTTATGTAGTAATTACTGTATTTATGAATTTAGCACCAAAACATTGCAATGTATTGAAACAGCTGTGGATTCGGGTGGGAGCCAGACTGCGTTGGATGATAAACGTTGGATGAGTGAAGCTTGGATAAGCAAGACTCTATTGTAATAAACTTAACCATTATTTTGCGCTCTGTTATTTCCTAGGTGTTTTTTCATCTGACTTGAAAACCTGCTGTGCCCTTTAGATTATCAAAGCTGATGTATGAACCATTTCCAGTAAAAGCTTTGCTGGGGGAGGGGGTAAGAAATTCTGTTTTGTTTTTTCTGGTGTAGGTAATTTGTTGTTTATTCATTCAGTCACTTCCGACTCTTCGTGACGTCATGGACCAGCCCACACCAGTGCTCTCTGTCGGCCATCACCACCCCCAGCTCCTTCAGAGTCAAGCCAGTCACTTCAAGGATACCATACATCCATCTTGGCCTTGGTCGAGACCTCTTCCTTTTTCCTTCCATTTTCCCCAGCATGATTGTCTTCTCTAAGCTTTCCTGTCTTCTCATGATGTGGCCAAAATACTTCATCTTTGCCTCTATTATCCTTCCCTCCAATGAGCAGTCGGATTTTATTTCCTGGAGGATGGACTGGTTGCATCTTCTGGCGCTCCAAGGCACTCTCAGAATTTTCCTCCAACACCACAGTTCAAAAGCATCTATCTTCCTTCGCTCAGCCTTCCTTATGGTCCAGCTCTCACATCTGTAGGTTACTACGGGGAATACCATTGTTTTAACTATGCGGATCTTCGTTGCCAGTATGATGTCTCTACTCTTTATTATTTTATCGAGATTGGTCATTGCTCTCCTCCCAAGAAGTAAACGTCTCCTGATTTCCTGGCTGCTGTCTTTGTCTGCAGTAATCTTTGCATCTAGAAATACAAAGTCTGTCACTGCCTCCATGTTTTCTCCCTCTATTTGCCAGTTATCAATCAGTCCGGTTGCCAGAATCTTGGTTTTTTTAATGTTTAACTGCAACCCAGCTTTTTACATCAATATAGACAATCTCAAATCTCTGTCAGCATAAAATGAAGAAGTAGGAGTGGAATATGTTTTGTGGATCAGACTTTAGCAAGTCCTACTCCTAGAAAATTTTTCCAGCCCTGATAATGTGACTTGCTTTTGTTGTTGTTCATTCGTTCAGTCGTCTCCGACTCTTCGTGACCTCATGGACCAGCCCACGCCAGAGCTCCCTGTCGGCCGTTGCCACCCCCAGCTCCCTCAAGGTTAGTCCAGTCACTTCAAGGATGCCATCCATCCATCTTGCCCTTGGTCGGCCCCTCTTCCTTTTGCCTTCCACTTTCCCCAGCATAATTGTCTTCTCTAGGCTTTCCTGTCTCCTCATGATGTGGCCAAAGTACTTCAACCTTGTCTCTAGTATCTTTCCCTCCAGTGAGCAGTCGGGCTTTATTTCCTGGAGGATGGACTGGTTGGATCTTCTCGCAGTCCAAGGCACTCTCAGAACTTTCCTCCAACACCACAGCTCAAAAGCATCGATCTTCCTTCGCTTTTACGGGAGATTAATTGTATTGCACCATTAATTGTATTGCACCATTTTCTAACATATTGGCAATAAACAAGGCGCTGTGGGTTAAAGCACTGAGCTGCTGAGCTTGTTGACCTAAAGGTCGCAGGTTCGATTCCAGGGAGCGGCATGAGCTTCCGCTTTCAGGCCTAGCTTCTGCCAACCTAGCAGTTCGAAAACATGCAAATGTGAGTAGATCAATAGGTAGCACTCTGGCGGGAAGGTAACGGCGCTCCATGCAGTCATGCCGGCCACATGACCTTGGAGGTGTCTATGGACAACGCCAGCTCTTCAGCTTAGAAATTGAGATGAGCCCCACACCCCAGAGTCAGACATGACTGGAATTAATGTCAGGGTACAACCTTTACCTAACCAAAATTTGCACTTTCAATACTTGGATACATTTGTTTATTTCGATTTTGTGGGTTATTATATGACAAAATGTATTATACAGGCTCAGATATTAATATTTAGCAGCTACTGTAATATATTACTGACCTATCTCACAACCTTCCCTTTGTGCAGTTGATATCAACGTTTATTAATTACGTATAGTTTTATGTATAGCCCGAAAAAACCCAAAAGAACTACTATAGTTTTGTTTGTTATACCAAGAGAGGGAAGGAGGAGTTCGTCTTTTGCTTATGGAATCTAGTGAATTAGTGGAAATTTCAAAGTGGCTTGGTAAGTACATTTCCAGGTGTGCCTGCATACATTTGGAATGCTGTTCTATAATGCCATACAGACCTGGTATATAGAATCCGATTGCCTATGCTTCTACGGTCTTGCATTTTTAAAAAATTGAACTGAAACAGTGACATCTTGTGGTCAAAACAATGACTTTCAATAATGGAATTGCTATTAATAGCATTTCAGTGAGAAGTTCCAAGGCTAGAATTCTGTGTCCTCTGGGTTTCCACGGTAACAGGCATTGAAGTCAAGAGCACAAAGCAGCCAAAGACTCCAATAGACTTACTTGAGAATAAAAAGGTAAAGGTAAAGATTTCCCCTGACATTACGTCTAAACTTATCCAACTCTGGGGGTTGGTGCTGATCTCAATTTCTAAGTCGAGGAATCAGCGTTGTCCGTAGACACCTCCAAGGTCACGTGGCCAGCATGACTGCATGGCGTGCCATTACCTTCCAGCCGGAGCGGTACCCACTGATATACTCTAGGTTGGCAGAAGCTGGGGCTAACAGCGGGAACTCACCCCATTCTGCGGATTTGAACCACTGACCTTTTGGTCAGCAAGTTTCACAGCTCAGCGGTTTAACCCAATGCGCCATCACAGCCCTCGATAATTGTCTAGGACCAAAATAACAAGCTTCAACTTGAAAATAAAATTAAGCATATGAAATTAAACAAAAGGCTGTAAGAAGCCCTAGGGTTATAGATTGCCCATCCCTGGACTAAATGGTGTGTTTGTTATGGTTAAAAAGTTTGCCTATTTTTGGGTTTGTTTTTTTTTTACAGAATTCAGTTACATGACACCTGTTGTACCAAAATAGCTGTGAGGGTTTTTTTGTGTCAAACTGAAAAACTTTACATACAGTGAACCTGATTGCAAGTATCACCTGACTCATTCTGCAATTCTTATTCTCAGAGTACGACATGGAAATGCATTGCTGTGAGTTTTCCTGGCTGTATGGCCATGTTCTAGAAGCATTCTCTCCTGACGTTTCACCCACATCTATGGCAGGCATCCTCAGAGGTTGTGAGGTTTGTTAGAAATGAGGAAAATGAGGCTTATATATCTGTGGAACTCCAGGGTGGGAGAAAGAACTCTTGTCTGTTTGAGGCAAGTGTAAATTTGCAATTGGCTACCTTGATTAGCATTTGATGGCCTGGCAGTAGTTTGGTGTGGCTTGTTGGTGCCTGGGGCTAACAGTATTAAAAAAAACTCTAAAATTACAACAGCAAAACAACAGAGAGGAAACAAACAAGGACATCTAATCACCTCAACAAAAGATTGTCCCAGGTACTGCCAGGCCATCAAATGCTAATCAAGGTGGTCAGTTGAAACATTCACACCTAGCTCCAACAGACAAGAGTCCTTTGTCCCACCCTGGTCATTCCACAGATATATAAACCCTTTTTCCTAGTTCCAACAGACCTCAATACATCTGAGGATGCTTGCCATAGATGCAGGCGAAACGTCAGGAGAGGATGCATCTAGAACATGGCCATATAGCCTGAAAAAACCTACAACAACCCACCCTTTAAATGTTGTTTTATGTATCAGAAAAACTTAGCAAATGAAATCTTTCTTTTGTTTTGTACAAGCCTCATTTCAGTCCGAAATGGAGTCAGAAACAAACTCTCCTCTTTCAAACACTTCCTAGCTTAATGTGAGGTGTTTTCCCTACCTTTTACCACATTGGTTTACTGTTGCAGTGCACTCAGCATTCTTGCAGACATTAGGCCCCGCCCACCATCCCTCTTGAGTTTTTTTTCCTGAAAGAAACCTCAATTTGTCCTTTTGGGAGGCTGCCGAGGAGAGAGAAGGGAGGAAGAAAGAGGGATTAGGTACTTCAGTGTCATTTCTGGCATGGGGGAAGGGGGACTAACTCTGCAACTTAGCTGTATGTCTTCTGGGAACAAAGGTGCACATACACTGTATAATATTTTCAGGGGATAATGCTTCTGGAACATGGCCAGATTTTAAGTGTAGAATTTAGTGGAATTTAATGTGGTGAAGTCCCTGCTTTTCTGGAGATGTTGAGGAAAAGTGTGATGACAGGGGGTGTTTCCCTCCTTTGATGTCCCCTTATGCCTTTGGGGTCACATGTGGAGCTATAGTGGTACTATTCAATTTCCAAAGCTTCTCCTGAGAGTTGTGTGTGGCCATTTTCCTTGCTCCAATCCTCTTTTCCCTCCATGCTCCTCTTTCTTGCCTTATCCCTGTTTCCTCTTGAAAGGGCTTCGGGCAACAGGAGCTGGCCTTTCCTTTCCCAGCGCAGTTTATGGGACCCCATGTCTCCGACAGCCCTGTCTTTTCGGCGAAGGAGCCACCTTTCAGGTCTTTCTGGCTTGTGGGCCTCTGCCAAGTTCTGGCCTTGCCCACAGCCTTTCTCTTTGTCAGTTGCTCCTCATCTTGGGTGCCATTTTGGGAAGTTCTCTTTTAGTTGGGAGCCATTTTGTGCTCCTAGCAAGGCCACACTCGCTCCATTCTCTAACTCCCCCTCTCCCCCACAATAGCCCAGGTGAACAGTCCCATTCTGTCACACAGTGTCTCAGCCTCACATTTTTTTTTAATTTTGTTCATGTCAGGAGTGACTTGAGAAACTGCAAGTCGCTTCTAGTGTGAGAGAATTGGCCATCTGCAAGGACGTTGCCCAGGGGACGCCTGGATGATTTGATGTTTTATCATCCTTGTGGGAGGCTTCTCTCATGTCCCCGCATGAGGAGCTGGAGCTGATAGAGGGAGCTCATCCGCCTCTCCCCTCATATGGGGAGCCTTAAAGGGTCACCCTGTCTCAGCTTTAGATTGGGCAACATTGAAGAGGTACACTGTCTCAGCTTCAAATGAGCAGCACTAAAGAGACACCCTGTCTCACCCTGAGATGTACAGTTCTTGAAGGGCACACTTTCTCAGCCTCAGAGGAGCACTCAGTCTCAGTTGCATATGGCTAGCCTTGAACGGTCACCATGTCTTAGCTTAAAATGAGTAATATTCAAGGGCGCACTTTCTTAGCCCCATATGGGCAGTCTTGAAAGATGCACTTTCTCAGTATTAGATGGGCAGCATTCATCCTATTTCAGCTCCAGATGAGTGGCCTTGAAGGGCACAATGTCTGAGCCTCAGATGAGCAGCATTCAAGTGTCACCCTGTCAGCCTCAGAAAAGGTGCCAGGGTGTTGCCTTGAACGGGCCTCATATTCTCAGCCTCAGGCCTTGACAGGGAGCTCTGAGGGGGGGGGGGGCCCTGGCCTCCCCCCCCCCCCCCCCCCCCCCCAACAAGCCATGAAGCCCAGGACCAGCCCTGGTGCCAAGCCCCCTCAGGCCAGGCCTCCTCCTTTATCCCAGCCCACAGAGAGCGGGTCCTCCCCCCCTCGGCCTGCAGGGGGCACCCTTCCCTTCCTCCCTCCCTCTGCCCAGGAGGAGGCTCCGGCCTGCTCTCACTCCTGGGCGTCCTCGCAGTTTAGGGTAGGGATGTTCATTTCCTTCCAGGGTTATTGAACCAACTGTGCTCCATAATTTCAGAGGCTGCCCAGTGGCTCCTCAGGGCGCAAGGGATCGGTAACAGGGCAGCCTTTCTGACAGGACTCAGCCAGCCTGGGTCTGGCAGGAAGGGGGTGGGCCTCCATCATGGAAGTGGAGCTCCTCATTCCTCCATCATGGAAGTGCATCTCCTCATTCCTCCATCATGGAAGTGGGGTGCGTCACCTCCTTTTGGCATTTAGGGCACCAGCTGGAAACAAAGCAGGGCTGTTTGGGCTATTCCAAGAGGTCTTGTGGTCTTGATTTTGGAGGCCATCATGTATAATGTATTGGATTCTTATTTCTTCTCATTGTTCTTTAATGTGTTGTTATTGGTTTCAGATTTGATGGGACAACTACCTTATTGATATGGATTCAGAAAGGGACCATTGCTTTCCTGAGCCTGGGTCCCCTTTGTTTACACCCTTGCCACAAGAATGCAGTTTTGAACCAGACCAGAGATGCCCATTCTGTTGATGAGACTAAAAAAGATGAGTCAGAAAATCTGCCTTTTATCTTAGAAAGGGTTTGATCTGGCAAAATGCCTTTAAGAAGACTCTTCAAAGTAAGTTTTTGGGCCTTTGGCGGGCAGAGTCCCTCAAGCCCTGAGATGGATTCAGAAAGGGACTATCGCTTCCCTGGAGCCTGGTGCCCTTTGTTTACCATAAGAATGCTGTTCCCAACCAGACTGATGCTGCCAATTCCGTTGATGAGACTGAAGAGACGGGCAGAAAGAACATTTCATTGAGCCAGGATGTCCCTCAGAAGACTGGTCAAAGTAAGTGCTTAGCTCTTGGCCATTGGTGGGGCGGAAGGCAGGTATAGGTCATGGGCCCCATCTCCACTGCCATATAACACAGTTTGAAACTGGTAGACTCACTTAATGCAATTCAGTTCTAATGGGTCAGCCAAGCTCAGTGTCGGGGCCACAAAAAGTAGTAAAAGGTTTCTGAACGTTTTTACAACCCTAACCAGCCTGTTTAGCAAGCTTTGAAAATGCTCGTTTATTTTCAGGAAAAGTTGGAATTTTAGACCTACTTTTTTAAAAAATATGTTTTTTTTTATTGAACATTTCCAATTTTTACAACACAAGAAGGGGGAAAGGCAAAGCAGGGAAGAGAAAAAAAAGTTAACGAAATAACGAGGGAAAGGGGTTGGGCGGAATTATTGTTAGTAAATTTAATCTGTTGGGTTTTAGCCTTGCACCTCTCAAGCCTTTGCTGATATCAAGTTCCTGGTCCTCAAAGAGGTAACTGGTCTGAGAGCACTAAGTTTAGGGAATGCTTTCCCCCACCTTCCTGTGAGTTTAAAAAGTCTTTTCTTCCTTCTCTTTCCAGAAACTATTGTCTCCCCTCCTTTTGATGACATAGCAATGTAATTCTGTGGGGGAACTTGCTATTGTCAAAAGACAAAACACCCTGGCAAGAAGGCCATGCGGTCTTGGGTGCCATCTTTGCTTCTTCTTTTCTGTCGCTCTTTCTGAGAGCGTGCTTTTGCCTCTGAGTGAGTGGAAAATGTAGTTCTTGGATCTTCACCTTTCGATTCTTTTTAGAAGATGAAGCTTCGTAAACTAGTTAGCTCCAACCCTTTTTTAAAAATCAACAATACACTTCATTTTACTTCGATGTGGTAAATTATTTGTAACCTTAAGATTGGAATCTGCAATCCTTAGCCATCCTGAAAAATAAAGCATATTTCTGCACACCCCACAGTGCTGCTTCCCCGGTTATGTACTTATGTACTGACACTTAAATTTTGATGGAATTTTCCTAATTTAGGGTTATTTTGGGGCTTAACTAGCACAGACTCCACACAAAATTAGTACAAATATAAAGTATGTCGTAAAAAGGGAGGGAGGGAGTGGAAGAGGGGGAGAAGAGAATTGTCAATGTACAAAGTTATTATTAATACATTTATTTCTTCATATCAATTACAAGAATTTCCTAAAATTCCAAAAAGCTCCATGTTTCTACTATATCAAAGAGAGTAATACTGTCATCAAAGGTTGAGTCCAATATTCATTTTACATGATAAATCTTAAAAATTAATGTAATCTTTTAGTAAGTTAGTATTGTATAAAAACGAATGTTTAATTCCAGTCTCTTCCAGTTTCCTCCCCCAGATTTTCCCCATTAAAATGCATCTCCATCATTAAATTATTTGTGTTGTCAAAGGCTTTCATGACTGGAATCACTGGGTTGCTGTGAGTTTTTTGGGCTGTATGGCCATGGTCCAGAGCATTATCTCCTAACATTTCGCCTGCATCTGTGGCAGGCATCCTCAGAAGTTGTGGGGTATATTGGAAACTGGGCAATTGGGGTTTATATATCTGTGGAATTCCAGGGTGGGAGAAAGAACTCTTGTCTATTAGAGGCAAGTGTGAATGTTGCAATTGGCCAGCTTGGTTAGCATTGAATAGCTTTGCAGCTTCAAAGCCTGGCTGCTTCCTGCCTGGGGGAATCTTTTGTTGTGAGGTGTTAGTTGGCCCTGATTATTTCCTGTCTGGAATTCCTGTTTTCTGAGTGTTGTTCTTTATTTACTGTTCTGAGTTTTTAAATACTAGTAGTTAGATTATGTTCATTTTCATGGTTTCCTCCTTTCTGTTAAAATTGTCCACTACACAGAGAAGCCATTGAAATCCACAAGCATATTAAATGTTTTACATTCTTGTTTATAGAATATATATTCTCTCCTTGGTGTTCTTAACTGGAACTGCCTTTTGCGGTTTCGTCTATTCCGGTATTTTGTTATAAAATGATATTTTATATTTATTCCATATTCTCATCAATGAGTTAATTACCTGGTGTTTCTTAAAGTCAGAATATGATTTTGTTTTCTCATATATCAGATATGCCTGCCAAATGTAACTTAAATCCCTCCCTTCAATTGTTAATAATTTTTTGTTTTTTGTTTTTTAAAAATCATTTTTTTAATCCATTGCCATGCTGCTGCATCATAATATTCCCAATTCTTCCTGTGTCTGGTGGGACAGAAGGGGAACACTGGTCACAGGCCCCATCTACACTGCCATATAACACAGTTTGAAACTTCAATGGTCTATGAAGACTCGTATAATGCAGTTCAGTTCAAATGGGTCCCTGTAGCTCATGGTTCTCAACCTGTGGGTCCCCAGGTATTTTGGCCTACAACTTCCAGAAATTCCAGCTGTTATCTGGGGACCCACAGGTTGAGAACTACTGCCCTATCTCAATGTTGGGGTCATGAAAAGTAGTAAAAGGTTTCTGAATATATTTGCAATTAAAACCTCAGGAAGATTTGTGATAGGTATTTTCCCTACTGGAATCCGCCCTGACTCCCTTTGCGGAGATAGAGCGGAATATAAATAAAGTATTATTTGAAACACAACAAGATGAGTCCACAGCAGACAAGATCACTCTGCTGGCTGTTGTATTGGATCACACGTCGGACACTTCCCAAGTGTCTAGGACTGTGTGATGTATCAGCGAATAATGTATGCAGATCCCGATGATGATGATGATGATGATGATGATGATGATGATTACTGCTGATTAGCTAAAGTGGCTCCTGCCAGTTATCCCAATTCCTCCTTCTCTTCTGCTTGTTTTGACATAAACAAATCAGTATCCCAAGAGTTTGGGACTGAAGCTGATTCTTTTTTAAGGAATTTCTTGAATTATCCTACGAATTTGTCTCCAGAATTTTTTTGACATATCCACCACCTTTGGTAGTAGGATCCTTCATGAGTGTCACATTTCCAAAATTTATTATTTGCACCTTTATACATTTCTGTATGGGGGAAAGGGATTAAAAGTTATTTAAATATCATTTTATTTCATTCTGTAAAGTTTAGTCTCTTCTGTCTCATTCTCCCCATTTCTCTAATCCCAAAAATCTGGATTTGATCCCTGAATATTTAAAGAAAGAAATTTAACTTTCTTCTTTTCTCCCAATATTTAAGTCATTTATGAGTAACATTACAAGACTGTTACTCATAAAGAGCATTAATTCACTGGTGCATAGCTACATAGGATCGTGTTGCTGACATTTTGCTGTTTTCTCTTCTTCTCTAGTGCTTCAGATGTAGCTCAAGAGTCTTCCATGAACAGCACATTGGACACTTGGATTAGGAGGGAAAGGCATTGTACTTCTATGAAGAGGGGATCAGGATTCGAATGAAGTGTCCTCTCTTTCTTTTATAGCATTTCTGGATGGTATCAGCTCCGCATCTGGGCCAGGATGAAAGGAATGAGATGCCCATTTGTGAGGAGTCCTGTGAATCCTGGATAAGGAGTAAAAGGCAGGAATAGTATAGTTCTGCGAAGAGGAAAGGGAGGGCAAGCTTTCAGAGGAAGATACACAGTAGTCACTTGGTTCTTCTCTTTCTTTCACAGTGCATCCTGACCAGGGGATGGGAAGCTGCCAGTCTGGAAATACTTTGGAGCCAGCAGTCCCAAGAACTGAGGTAATTCTAAAAAAATTCTCTTTTGTCTTTCCTCCCTCCATTCTTTTCCATCCTTCCTTCCATTCTTCTCTTTCTCCCTCCCTTGCTTTTTCCTTCCTCCCTCCTTTCCTTCTGAGGGATGTTTAGCTGGGAGAAGAGAAGGTAGAGAGGGAACATGAGAACCATGTTTCAAGATTTAAAATAATGTCCCATTGAGGAGGAGGGGAAAAACTGACTTTCTACTGCTCTAGAGCCCAGGGCACAAGAGATCAATGGTGTCAAATGGCAGGGAAAGAGATTCGACTGAAAAGATTAGGAACAACTTTCTGAGAGTAAGAACTGTTGGAGAATGGCATAGTCTGCCTCTGAATCTCCTTCTCTGGAGATTTTATATAGAGGCTGTCTATTGGGAGTGCTTCGATTGTGTCTTTTTGCATGGCAGAGGGTTGGACTGGATGGCCATTGGGGGTCTCTTCCAGCTCTAGGATTCTAAATCAGGAGTAAGCAATATGGGGTCTAATAGATACACTATTTCTCTTGCGTCCACAACTCATCCTGATCAAGACCAATCCTTCTGGGATCCAAATGTTTCCCATCTTTCCTTCACTTCCTGCCTCCAAAAGAGAAGAGGAAGGGGAGGAAATGGCAGAGAGGGGATAGCTCTGGCCCGCCATGTGGCCCCCAACTTAGAAAGTTTGCCTATGCCTGATCTTAAGGATCAGAGTCCTATAAGTCCTTTCCTGTACTGACCCAAACAGGTTAGTTCTAAATTGGGGGAGGGGTACACTCAATGGGTCTGAGGTCTAGCAGGAAAGTTGCATTACCAAGGAGGCCATGTCTCTCTCTGTTGCACCCCAGCTGTGGGACACTTTTTCACCCAGACACCACGCAGGGATGAGAGAATCCACTAAGTAAAATTTATTAAGAAAAATATAAAAGTTGAGAAAACTGCAAAGTTGCTGAGTATATGAGATAATGAGTTCCATGAATCAAATCGCAGGAATTCAAAAACTTGGAACTGCACTTTGAGGTGATACAATGAGACAAGGCAAACCCCATACACTCGATCAAAATTATATCCAGAACTTGCAAATAAAACAAAGAATAAACTAGACCCAAATACTATGAAGACATGAACAGCAGTTAAAATCCAGAAATTGTATAATTGTAGAAATGTATAATTCGTTGGACTTTTTCTTCTTCTAATTGTACTTTAATTTGTTAACACTTGTATCAAATTTGCCGGGGCAGCTACCCTATTTATATGGATTCAGAAAGGGGCCATTGCTTCCCTGGATCCTGGTGCCCCTTTGTTTACTCTGTTGCCATGAGAATGCAGTTCCGAACCAGCCCATGCTGCCCATTCCATTACTGAGCTTAAGGCCAACAGGCAGTTATCCCGTTTGTTTGTGTCTTCTACCTTTCTGTGTCTTCCGTGTCAATCTGACACGATGCCTTTGGGAAATATAATAGTGGGGTGGAAGGCGGGCCCATGGGGAGCCCGGAGCCTGCCAGGGGCCCTCAAGCTCTGACCAAAAAAGAAGGCAAAATAACATCAATTAAAATCTGGGTAGTAGGGGCTAACAAAGGTAGAATTTCCATAAAAACATTTTCCTCTTCGCAAGAAGCAGGTAGCTTCCAGAGTATTTTGAGGCCTGCCAATTAATAGTAATAGTAATAATAATATTAACAACAATATTTTCTTACCCACCTCTTCTTGTGGCTCAAGGAGTTAGATCTTTTGGACGAGTCAAAGAGATGGGCCAGAATTGGGATATCAATAAATGGCTGGGATCACTGCTTGTGTTCAAATGACGTGATGGATAAAAAAAGATAAGAAAATAAATTAAGATAAGAAAACTTTTTTTTAAGGTCTTTTGACATATCCACTACCTCTGGTAGTAGGACCCTTCATGAGCATCCTACTACAACTATTTGCATCTTTATAAATTTGTATATGGGAGGAAAGAATTAAAATCTATCTAAATATCATTTTATTTCATTGTGTATAATTTAATCCTTTCTGCCTCATTCTCTCCATTTCTCTAATCCCATATTATAGCCAAAATTCCCAATTTGATCCTTGAATATCTAAAGAAAGAAATTTTACTTCCTGCTTTTCCCTCAAGATGTATGTAATTTATGAGTAGCATTGCAAGACTCTTACTCATAAAGGACATTCATTCACTGGTGCTTCCTCTTCAAAATAGCTACACAGGGTTCTGTTGCTAACATTTTGCTGTTTTCTCTTCTCTAGTGCTCCAGATGTAGCTCAAGAGTCCTCCTCCATGGACTCATTGGATGCTTGGGTGAGGAAGAAAAAGCAGGAGTATTGTCCTCCTGTGAAGAGGAGGGGATCAGGATTCCAACCAAGTCTCCTCTCTTTCTTTTACAGCATTTCTGGCTGGTATCAGCCCTGCAGCGCAAACCGGATGCAAAGAATGAGGGCCCCATTCAAGCAGAAGCCTGTGAATCCTGAGTAAGGAGTGAAATGCAGGTATACTGTCTTTCTGCAAAGGGTAAGGGGAGGTCAAGCTCTCAGAGGAAGTTTCCCTATAGTCACTTTGCTATTCTCTTTCTTTACAGTGCACCCTGACCAGGAGAGGAGACAAGGAAAGTATTGACTCGCTTTAGAGCCAACAGTCCAGGAATTGACTTTTTGGGTGGGAGCTGGGTTTTTTTTTTGGGCTGTGGGAGTCTTTGGTTTTATGTTCTTACATATGATTTTTTTTGTTTTTCTTAGGGAACCACCACCACTGGAGATAGAAGATTTGGAGGATGCCTAAGGTGAGGTGGCACTGGAAAACAGAGGGAGGGATGTGCTGGTTGTGGGGAGCCAAGGCCTGGCAGAGGGCCCCAAGCCCTGACCAAGAGGGCCAGAAAGGGGGGGGGGGGCTATAGGTACCGGTAGACTCTTCTTGACCACAGGAACAAGTAACTTCACTTAAGAAACACGCACTCAGTCCTTTGATTTTGCTGCTGAAAGGCTTTCTGGCTGGAGAGTGTTTTCATATTTTTATATTTTAAATAGTATACTGATGTTTTTATGTTAAGCTATTTTGAGTTTTCTTTTGGGAGAGATAAAGCAGTCTATAAATAATAACAATAACTCTAACTGCAATTGTCTGTATTTCTGGGTGGCGTTATTTATTGAGAGGGTGACAATTCATGGGCTCATGCCTTACCTTCTCCAGGTGGAGCAACGTGGATGAGACTGAAGTGAGTTGGGCTTGTGATCCTGAGAGTACAATTGAGAAGAAAAAACATGTTCAAGGAGAAACTCCATCTTGGATCCTGCTCACGTTATCCTCTCCATGACCTACCTGGCTGAAGGTTATCCTCCATCTCTTCCTGGGACTGCTGGTTCCATCGTGTGCCCATACTCACCGATGTTCCTCCTCCCCTAGTCAGGGTGTCCTGTGAACGAAAGGACTCTGCTGGAATGGGGCCCACAGTCATCATGGCTTGGCTTTTACAGAAATGCTATAAAGAGACTGTACATATTGTTGTCAGTCAAGGACTATGTTTTAATCTAATGTTCATAATTTTATTGTTAAATTTTGTTATTGATTGTGCTGTATTTGGTGTTTTCTATTTATTGATGTGTTATTGTTTATCCAATTTTTTGTACTGCACTTATTGTATTTCATGTTGTAAGCCGCCCGATTCCCCTGGGGAGAAGGGGGCGGGATATAAATAAACGTTGTTGTTGTTGTTGTTGTTGTTGTTACTATTATAATGCTATTTATCAATTTTTATTATCATTTTATTTCTTGTAAAACATAAATAAAAGGTTTTCATGTTGTTTTTCAATGCATTTTGTTGTTACAATTTATTTATAAGTCTCGCACTCTTCTAAGAGAATGCTTTAACCTCTGGTTTGCTAGGAAAACTGAAATACTGTAAATGATGCACATTTAAACAGAATGTCATAAACAAGAAAACTATAGAAGGCTCTGCATTAGAGGTTTCTCTGGAAACTGCTGTCAAGCCTTAGATCAAAGGCTAAGAAACCCGTGGTCAAACCATCATGCAAGGACAACCCACCCCCCTTAGAAAATTTAGCCAAACTTAATGAGAGAAGTGCATTATTTATTTATTTACAGTATTTATATCCCGCCCTTCTCACCCCGCAGGGGACTCAGAGTGGATTATAATGTATACATATATGGCAAACATTCAATGCCAAAGACACACAACAGATATAGACAAACAGTCAGAGGCTATTTACCTTTTCTGGCCGCCAGGGGAGCTGTTGCTTTCATCGTCCATCTGTGACACTGATGAAGTACTTCCGCATTCCCTGCATGCTTTTGCTGGAGTGCTTTGCTGGAGTCTTTTTTATGGCCTCGTAAATTAGTTAAATTAGCCTCCCCACACATAGGTGGTACCTAATTTTCCTACTTGACAGATGCAACTGTCTTTCGGGTTGCAAAGGTTGACAACAAGGTACACAATTGGTTGGAAACTCACTCCGACCCAGGCTGGCTTCGAACTCATGATCTTATGGTCAGAAGTGATCTTAATTTCTTTACTTTATTTATATACCGCTTTTCTCAGCCCTCAGGTGACTCAAAGCGGTGAACAACATCAATACAAAACATCACTAGACAAGTATAGGGCAATTAAAAACAATTGTAACATAAATCATTAAACATCAGTATAACAATCATTAGTGCCTCAACAGTAAAATCAGAATCCAGTCTCATCATCCATTATTCCGTATTCCTATGTTCAACCACACTGTTTAATCAAATGCTTGTTCGAACAGCCAGGTCTTCACTTTCCTCCGAAACGCCAGCCGGGAGGGGGCCGATCTGATATCTGCAGGCAGGGCGTTCCACAGCCGAGGGGCCAGGACTGAGAAGGCCCTGTCTCTCGTCCCCGCCAAGCGCGCCTGTGATGCAAGTGGGACAGAGAGCAGGGCCTCCCCAGATGATCTTAGTGTCCCAGCCGATTCATAGGAGGAGATGCGTTTGGAGAGGTAAGTAGGGCCAGAACCGTTTAGGGCTTTATAGGCTACCGTCAGCACTTTGAACTGTGCCCGGTAGCAAACTGGCAGCCAGTGGAGCTGGCGCAACAGAGGAGTAGTATGCTCCCTGAGTGCCGCTCCTGTTAGCAACCTGGCTGCTGAACGCTGGACCGTTTGAAGCTTCCGAGCAGTCTTCAAAGGCAGCCCCACGTAGAGAGCGTTGCAGTAGTCTATACGGGATGTAACCAGATCTTAATGCAGTTGACACTCAGACAGCTGTGCCACAGTCCCATTATCACAGAGAAATTGTTGCAAAACTACACTAGAGTGTGCAGATGTTAATGTACAATAAAACACCTTTATTCTATTGAAATCTTAACATTGTTGAAATACTTGGAAATCAGGCTGCCCAACTAATGGACATTTCTTGATGTGTGTCTTCAAGTCACGTGGAATCCAAAAGCGAGCCTATCAAAGGGGTTTGCAACAGACTTGTTGAGGCTGAGAGGGTGTGACTTACACAAGGTCACTCTTTGGTTTCTCAGGATTGAACAGGGATTTGAATCCTGCTCTCCAAAAATTCTTAAAGAACTTTGCTTCTTTAACAAATCAAAATACCTCTAGCACAGTGGTTCTCAACCTGGGGTCCCCAGATGTTTTTGGCCTACATCTCCCAGAAATCCCAGCCAGTTTACCAGCTGTTAGGATTTCTGGGAGTTTAAGGGCAAAACATCTGGGGACCCACAGGTTGAGAACCACTGCTCTAGCACAACATCTAGGCAGTAAGGGCTTTAAAAAAAAAGGATTGTACAACATTGTCACACGCCCTTTGCCAACCATGGACAGGACTGGAGTAGCATTGTCTGAGGCTTTGCTTGGAAACACTTTCTAATGAAAGTGACAGGACCAACTGCACACAAATGTGAGGAAATGCATTATTAATCCAATTCCTGACATTTTTAGGGTGCCTCAAAAAGATGGTGTCTATGCCTGGAAGTACGAGGATGGCTTTGGAGACCAACCAGCGGAAATTTGGACTGAAAAGACACAAGGAGGATGCCTGGCAGGAGGATCTTTGGGACCCACTTCATCAGGATTCCTCAGGCAGCAAAGGGTGCACATGGTGCAGATCTGCCTAGGAAAGGAGGATAGCCAGAGAGAGTAAAAAAGGGACGCTGTTCCCACTATAGACTTAACATTATGGGCCAAAAAATTGCATCCATCTGGCCTGTTTCCTCCTGCCATCCATTGGGGAGAAGCATGCTCACAACTCACTCTCTGCATGTATGGATTGGGCACAGACAGGGAGACCCGAGGCAGTCAAGGAAGGGGCGTATGTGTCTTATCTGGTAGGGTTGCCAAAGGGCCTGGAAATATTGGATGCAAATGTATTTATTTATTTACGATATTTATAGCCCGCCTTTCTCAGCCATATGATGAGTCAAGGCGGGTTACAGATTGGCACAGTTAGGCATTCATAAAACAATCAACATTACAATATAAAACATATATAAAAACCGTTAAAGCATATAATCATTGGTGTCATCTTGTTAAAAACGTTATCCAGTAACATTGTCTGGCTATTCCATGTTCATCATTCATAGTTCCGTGTTATCTATTCCGCTGCATTCTCAAAAGCTTGCTCAAAGAGCCAGGTCTTTACTTTTTTCGGAAAATCAGGAGGGAGGGGGCCGATCTAAAATCCCTGGGCAAGGAGTTCCATAGCTGGGGGGCCACCACTGAGAAGGCCCTGTCCTTCGTCACTGCCAATCGCACTTGCAAGAGCAGGGCCTCCCCAGATGATCATATGATGTTGAAAGAAATGTTCATGGTTAAAATCATGATGAAACCAGAATTTAATTTGTTTGGGAATGATGGATTATCCAATGGAAAGAAACATAGGAGATTACTACAACATAAGGCCGGATTGATTACTGCAACGCGCTCTACGTGGGGTTGCCCTTGAAGACTGCCCGGAAGCTTCAGATGGTCCAGCGCTCGGCAGCCAGGTTGCTAACAGGAGCGGCACTCAGGGAGCACACCACTCCTCTGCTGAGCCAGCTCCACTGGCTGCCGATTAGCTACCGAGCCCAATTCAAAGTGCTGGCGTTGACCTTTAAAGCCCTAAACGGTTCTGGCCCTACATACCTATCCGAACGCATCTCGCCCTATCAGCCCACCAGGACCTTAAGATCGTCTGGGGAGGCCCTGCTCTCGGTCCCGCCTGCGTCACAGGCGCGTTTGGCGGGGACGAGGGACAGGGCCTTCTCGGTGGTGGCCCCTCGGCTATGGAATGCCTTACCTGTGGGCAGACATCAGACAGGCACCTTCGTTGCTGGCGTTTCGGAAAAAGGTTAAGACCTGGCTTTATGAACAGGCGTTTGGTTGAACAGTGCAATCAATCAAGGAAGACGGTAAATGGAACATAGGAATGGCACAAGGATTATGAGAACGGATCTGATTTCACTGAGGCATTATGTTGTATGTGTTGACTGTCCTGTTCTGTTTTGTTAACTGTTGTGGATTGATGTTGTTGATCCTGTTTGTCGCACGTGTTGCGTTTTAATTGCACTGACACTGTTAATAATTTGTATCATGTAAACCGCATAGAGTCGCCTGTCTGGGCTGAAATATGCGGTATAGAAATAAAGCAAATAAATAATAAATAAAATAAGATAAATGCAGTGAGAGTCATCTATGCCAATGGTGTCAAACTTGTGGCCTTCAAGCTGTGTTTGACTCCAGCTCCCAAAATCTTTATCATTGGACAAACTGGATAGAGCACATGGCAGCTGGAGTCCCAAACATCTGGAGGGCCACAAGTTTGACACCTCTGGTCTATTTGCAGAAATAGAAGGAATCAATCACCTCAGCATGAGAAGAATGGCTGACAAAGGTCTCCAAATTAGCTGAAATGGACAAAATGCAAAATGTATTGTCGAAGGCTCTCATGGCTGGATTCACTGGGTTGTTGTAGGTTTTTTGGGCTATGTGGCCATGTTCTAGAAGCATCCTCTCCTGACGTTTTGCCTGCATCTATGGCAAGCATCCTCAGAGGTTGTGAGACCTCACAACCTCTGAAGATGCTTGCCATAGATGCAGGTGAAACGTCAGGAGAGAATGCGTCTAGAACATGGCCATACAGCCCAAAAAACCTACAAGCTCTGAGGATGCTTGCCATAGATGCAGGCGAAATGTCAGGAGAGAATGCTTCTAAAACATGGCCATATAGCCCAAAAAACCTACAACAACCCAAAATGCAAAATGCTGATCAAGGGAAAATCATTCAGGAAATTCAAGGCAGACTGGAACTTATTCATTGTCAAGTAGAAAAATGCTGTATTAGATAGGAATGCATTGTATCTAGCTCCAGTGTGTGGAAAAACATAATTCTTATCAGACATGTGTTCACAGCATTGTCCTCTAAAGGGTTAAGAGAGTAATAGAGATGTGATCCTAAAGGGACATTTCCTGCCCTCTGGAGGGATGAATGGGAGTGGCTTGCATGTGCACTTCCTTCTCTGCCATGTGCCTTGCTGTCTGCCATTTTTACAGGTCTTGCTATGTTTCTCTGCATATGGAATCTATTGCCATCCTTGCTGTGTGAGCGTCTTAATATGATTGTGAGTATCTTTGCATATTAAGGGAAATC